TAAAGAAAGTTTTGAAAATCGTCCTTGCTGGGCAGTAAAACATCAGACAGTCTACAGGCATATACAAGTGGTCGAAAGAACTTGGTATACTACGTCAAATATTTGTCCACAAAGAAAAGAAAATGCAATCACTACAACACAACAGAATGATACAAAATCAGAGCAATAATAAACATCATAAAAACAATATCAATAAGACAGTACTTCAACAGTTCGTGAGCATGTTCTCTGTAAAGCAAAAGAAATACATATACAGTGGAGATCGCTAAAACCAAAATCTGCAGGATTGCTGGATTATCTTCATCTAGTCATATTTTTGGTTTAGAGACATTGCTCCTTCGTTGCTTCTTTTCTTCACCTATTTCAAGGAGGGTGAAAAAAAACTTGCTGCTGTTTGCCGTTTAAATTTTTTCTCTCCCAGCGATAGATATCTACAGAGTAGAATTAGGAATGTCACGCTTACAGCAAATTCCACATTTGGAAAGTTTTTTCTCATCTACCTCTTTCGGTATCAGCAATTTAAGATGCAGGGTGCATGCTTTATATTTTCTCTCCTAAATTGTCAGCTTGCTTGATCTGCTGAAGTCAAACAAAATACAAGCAAGAGAAGATCAACACACCATCCTGTACTCTTCACTAGTGAGGTAAAAAGACTCAATGCCAGCGACATCATAAATCATATCACGAGCAATGCACACGCTCAAGTGTATGTCTGTGAACTAGGCTCGCAGAGACAGTAAACCATGACCCATTGAAGGTTGTGCATCAGAGATGTACATTCGTTAACCTAGAGTCACGCACTTTTTAAACCTATTAATCTGTGTGATAAATGTTGGCAAAGAGTACTCAGGCAATGCCTCTCCCTGGCGTGTGATTGACACATGTGCGTTCTCTTCTTTTTCTTCTGTTTCGCTATCTTGAAGCAGGGAAGACTTGATGATTTGAGTTACTTGAGGAGTTGCTAGTAAAGAATTAGAAGATATCATTTTAAAAAATTCCTTTTGGTTTAGAAAAAAGAGCATTTCAGCAAACTGGCAGTTTTCTTAAAACAAATTGGGGATTCTGACGTCTTTTGAAATAGCGCTATAATTTCCGTAATCACTCATTTTAATTTAAGAGATCTCCACTGTATAAACACAAACTGTGGAGGTGGCACCATTGTCCTGTCAACAGTGCACATATCATCACAGCTCAGAGCAAAAGAGGAAAAGACATAATACAACTATTGTTTACATTCCTAAGTAGTTGGAACAAAATACAACAGTTGACTTTCTCCACGAAAATGAATTTTTTCTCTTTGTAGCACGGCTCCTGACTAGTAAGACCACCATTGCCAAAAAGCCATTTCATTTTTACGTAAAGTAAAATACTGGCTCAAGATAATGACTGCAGCCTGAGATTTTTAAAAAGCAAACAAGAAACACTCAAATTTTCAAATTCAACCAAAGCTAAAACACAACCACTCAGTTATAAACAATAAATAACGTCTAATCATATCTAAACACCATCACTAATAATACGTCAAACAGCTGCCTCTAAAGATAAAACATTCTGTAATTACTGAAGCCTTCAAATTCACACACAACCATCAGGCTATAAAGGCTAACAACAACTTGAGGGTGTCAAGCACAAATGGGCCAACTCTAAAAATATTCTAAAACTTTATTTTTTTTAAACGAAATTGTTGTTGTAAAGCAGGGTTAAATATGTTATCTTCATAAGTGGTGCAGAAATTCATAGACTAGAAATGCGCAAAGTTTTTAGTTTTAGTAAGAATTTTATGGCACTTGCAACACAAATAGGTCAAATAAATGCCAAAGGTTAAAAGTGTTACTACAAAGTTAAATATAAAGAAACCAAGGAGGCCAGATAAGAACAACAAATGTTTGATAGAAATGAAGGAGCAAACCACACCACGGCACCCACCAACTACCCACCTAGAAGTGCATGAAACATCAAGGTAAAATTTGAATTGAAGTATTCTTTGAAAGTTAAATTTATCAGTCATAAAATCTCTCCTTTAAAATAGGCTTCCTATGCCCATTAGTGCCCAACACCATTGATATACAATCAAATCTTCCAAAAGCAGTATTATAGGGGATTAAGTCAATAAAAATTTTAAAATCTACCTTAAATAGATAAATATCAGTCTATGTTTACTCTCTATTCTTTAACAACCTTAGCTCAACCACTGGGAATATGTTGGACTATCGAGGCATTTCACAAGAATTTCATGTAATCAGTCTGGCATCCATATAGCAAATATCGTCGGCGGAGAATTCTAACCGTCCAACTCCGATTTCGTAAATTTTACAGGAGAGACAAAAAACTGAATTCAAAGGCTCTTATGGGGATTTACTGTCTTAAATTGCGCTAGACTGGAATACATGACTCTACTTTTAAGTATTTAAAACAAAATTGCCGAAATTTTATTATTTTAAGTCCTAAACCAGAGTTATACGGATAGACCGCTCAGTTTTGGATTTCTAACCGTCCAAGTGTCGACGAACGAAATGTTCGTTTAGAATTCTCCAACCCGGCGGGGACGCCACGCGCTTCGTTACGTCTAACTCAGTCATCGTGACACGTTAGTGTTACCGAACAACTCGAAATGACTACACCTGCAGTCAATCCAATAGGAAACCTACTATAAAAGTTCTAATTAGTACTACATAGTACTGTAGATCTAGAATCTAACAATAATACTGTTATTATATCTAAAACTGAACGTCGCACTTTATTTCCACATAATTCTAATTAGGCAATGGGCTTGTCGACAGATTAAATGCGTCGTTAAGTTTTTACTATAAAGCTAGTATTTGATCCTTCATTCTCAAGGAAATTGTGAGAAGGATTGGTTTCTTGTCTAGCTACAAGAGAGAGAGAGAGAGAGAGAGAGAGAGAGAGAGAGAGAGAGAGAGAGAGAGAGAGAGAGAGAGAGAGAGAGAGAGAGAGAGAGAGAGAGAGAGAGAGAGAGAGATTGAGAGAGAGAGAAGGGGGGAGGGACTGAGAGAGAGAGAGGGGAGGAGGGGTCTGAAAGAGAGACAGAGAGAGAGAAAGAAAGAGAGAGAGAGAGAGAGAGACACAGAGAGAGAGAGACAGAGACACAGAGAGAGGGGGGGGGGGCAGAGAAGAATTTCCGTATACATTGTATATACGAATTGTCTTCATGGAGCTTCTTTTATGGCTACTTTTTTCCTGTTTGAAGTGCAGATTCTGTCGCAGTGCTTGCTCTCTAGTCACTAGCATAATAGTTCTTTCATTTATCATTTTCCTCCATGTTTTCCTGTCCTCGGTTATTTCTTCACTGATGCTGACATCTACTCCAAGCTTAGGTAATCTGTTTTTGCAGATGTCTTTGTACCTCAATTTTGACCTTCCCCTTGGTCTCTTTCCCTGGGCAAGTTGTCCATAGAGAAATTGCTTCGGAATCCGGTTGTCGTCCATTCTCTTGACATGGCCCAGCCATCTCAATCTTCTTAAACACAGGATTATTTGTAGGGTTGATTCATTATGAGCGACAACAGCAGCATCACCGGCAAAGAAAAGGTCTCGTATTCTTGTTTGGTTTGTTGATTTTGGTCTTGGCTCGAAGTTGAGCAAGATTGAAAAGCGACCCATCAGTTCTCCAGTGGGAGAAACTGAAATGCTTCTAACTCTAAAAACATGGTTTAACTTGGTTGGAAGACTCTAGAAGTAATATGATTTTTTTAAAGCTCAAGTAAACCCCATATATTGCTTCTCCACCTAATGTATGGCCTAATTAAATAACAAATTTTACATAGAAAGTCATCAAGATGAGGTATGCCATAGCAGCATCCAGTGTCAACAGGAATGAATTATCCTCTTGTCCAAGCACCATTAAGACGCTTTAAAATGCTCTACCCAATGAAGCTAAAGCTCTGGTTAGCTAAAAAATAAACTACATAAACCAAAACACAATACACTGCATATCAAATTAGACTTAACCGTGGGTTTTAACTTGCGCACTGGTGACGTACTCAGTTCTAGATTGTCATAGAACTTGTGGTAGTCAGATGGCACAACAGACTTCATTTCTTGCATGTGTTATTAAAGTTCTCTATGGACGAATTAAACTTTCTACCCTGGTACAGAGGCAGTCCCTTCATGTCTTTATGGAGAATGTCTGTGGACTCGCCACGCTTCAAAGGCAGATGTGACCAGTCATCATCAAATCTCAGTTTGTATTTAATTTGACCATCTGGTTGGTTAGTTTGATGAAATCAGAAAAGATACAATGAGTCAAATATGGCTTCACTTTCCTACTTTCTTCCATTAGCCTGACATAATCAGCTGGGTAGTAGATGTGCTATGAACACTGTCCAACTCCATCTGTGTATAGCCCTTCTCCAGGAATTTTAATGTTACAGTTTTACCTTTGGCAGAGCTGAAATGTAACAGTGCAGAACTCATTGTGACTTTGCAGTTCTGATACAACCACATCCATCTGAATATAATGATTTAGAGTCAAATCAGATGACAAAAAATCAACCACACAAGGAGCAAACTTATTTGCAGTCAGAGCACCTTCGAATTCATTTGAGACATAACATACACATACCCCCCCCCCCCCCCCCCACACACACACACTCATACTTTTCTTTATACAAACGGCGGTACACTGCCTGTAAGCTCTGGAAAACAGGTTCCAAGTATAACTTACTGGAGTCCTTCGGCAATAGTGAGATGGCAACTTGGGCAGATCACAAAGAAACTGTTTAAGTACCTTTAATTCTGTAGTCTCCTCCCTAACCCTTTTTCTCTGAACTGGAACCTCACCCTCTGCTACACCCAACCCACATGTGAGAACAATGTGAACACACTAGTAACAAAGTACAGGACTTAAGAAGAAAGCTGTGCACTCTTTTACTCTGGCCCCATTCACTCGCAGATGGTACTTCATGGACCACGATCTTCTGCTTTCTCTCTCCTTTTTCTCCACAGGCTCGACACAGTCAACCAACCCTTTAACAAAAGCAGCCTTTTCTGATTTTACATTTTATTTATAATCAAACGCCTCCTTCAGAGCAAAACATTATCGCCGTGATCCACAATGACGGGCTACCTAAACGAGTTAGACAGTTAGAATACTAAGAATTCTTCAGTCACGGAAGCCAGTCGGAATATACGGTTAGAATTTCTCTTTAAAACAAGACTTTTGTTTGTCAAAATTGTTCTAGATTTTAATAGGACGTAGCCATTCGTCATGTCGATCTATTTTCAGGAAAAAAGAATTTTATTTATAATCAAACGCCTCCTTTAGAGCAAAACGTTATCGCCGTGATCCACAATGGCGGACTACCTAAACAAGTTAGACGGTTAGAATTCTTCAGTCACGGAAGCCAGTCGGAATATACGGTTAGAATTTCTCTTTAAAACAAGACTTTTGTTTGTCAAAATTGTTCTAGATTTTAATAGGACGTAGCCATTCGTTATGTCGATCTATTTTAAGGAAAAAAGCAATTCGAGAAAATTTCGAGTTAGACGGTTAGAATTCTCTGCCGACGATATGTAAACTGCAAAATATACACATTGCAAACAGATTTTCAGGTCCTGAATTTTTTCTAATTCATGCATATTCCTTTTATACACATACATAGCTTCATACACATCAAAAAGACTTCCTCAACCCACCAAGATTGCAAGTCGGCTGTATCTCCAGAGCCACACAGATTACACCCATGAAACCCTACATTTTGAAATGTCTTTGAAAGTTCTTTAACAGGAATGTTCAAAAAAGAGTAAAATTCAATGAGACTGGTGAGGATGTAAAAATTCAGTCTTGTCCATCAAAATCGACCTTTGACTGAGGAAGGGATAAAATCACTTTCATGTCTTCACTTAACAAATAAAATAGCATCGGCAAACTCCTCAAATGTATTAGCCCACAGAACAAATTTTTTCTGAACAGGAACATTTTTTTTGCCCATTTTTCCTGCATTTTGCATTAAAAACTTCTTTTTTCAAATTTCCGCATTTGAATTTTATCAATGTGGTTCTTTAGCACATGCAACAGTTATCAAAGACTAAGAAAATGCAGTAAAATTTTTTAATTTAAAATTTGGGCTTGGTACATCTGAACAGCTGACCGATGATATATAAATAAAACAAGCACAAAATCCCCAAACAATACAAGTCTGCAAACAAATTTAAAACACTACATGCAAGAGATGACCATCTCAAACAATGATCTCTGCGGCTTTTCTCCTCAAGTCTCAGCATCCGCAAGAATACCCGCTGACCTGTCACCGTATATGAGCCTCCTCCACTGCTTCTTCTGTTTCATCGTCCTGAAACAGATCAAAACTTTTTTTAAAGCACCAGACATGCTAAAGGAACATATTCATAAGAATAACAAATACACCATATTATGACAGTTTTAATATCACTGTATTTGGTTGCATAGAGCCTAACCATAATATAAACCATTTTAAAGAAAAACGGGGCAATATTTTTTTATCTTACCTCCGTGTAAAATATAGATAAACATTTTGAAATCTTTAGTAACTTAAGCAACATACCAGTTACAATTTTACGGTTAAGATTTCCAGCAACAAAAGCTAGATAGTATAGAGCTGAGACAAACAACCCACATCATATGATTGCTTTTAAGCACAAGGGGGCAATCCCGAAAAATGTTGTTTTGATAAAATTGAAAGCAAAGCTTTTGGACCCTTGCTCAGTTTCTTTAAAAGACAAGGAGACTTTTCTCTATAACCAAATAAATATGCACACCAATGAAACAAAACACACATGTTTGAGAAAACTTCAAGTGGAATGCATGGACAAAATTCTGGCAGATTTAATTTGATCATTACAGATTCATTTCCACTTAATCATTTCTTTCCACATGAATGTTTATGGTGGGTGGTTTTTATGCCCCATCAACACAATTTAGATCCTTTACAAAGCAGACCATGGCTGACAGAGGCAATCTGAGCTGAGAGAGATAGAATATCCTAGGAGAAAGACTGACATACTCAATAAAAGTTTTCTCTACTCAAGAACTGAACTAAGGTTTTTTTTGTGTCGCAAGCTATGTCATTGCACCTACGCACAAATATAGAGAGATGATGGAAAAAATCTATCTAATCAGTTGCACAAAAGAAATAAAAAAGTCATTGTATAACCTTTATAAACAAACAAATTACTTCAAAATAATAATAAACATCTCAATACTTCATTTAAATATTGAAAAGAAGTAAAAATGCCAACAGAACATTTGTTTAAAATCAGATCACCAAACCAAAACATTGCCAATTTTACCTTTGACTTGAACCTGAACAAGGAGACAGTTCAAACAAAAATTGTATATTTTTACCGCATTTTGATATCACAGGGATAGGGACTAATCCAAAAAATTATTACGGAAGATTCTGCGACAGCAGCAGGGGGTGAGGGGGGCGCAGCCCTCCTAAAGCAGGGAAGAAATTTACGTTTATAACTTTAAAAACATAGTCTCCGAGAGAGTTTTGAATTAAAAAAAAAAAAAGAATTACAAAAAGGTGTTATTTCACTAGCTAACAAACATAATTGAAAAAATTAAAAAATACAGAAGCCTACATTCATCTAAATACTTACATTACAATGAATACTTCTACAAGTCAGATCAATGTTATTGTTTGATGGCCAAGCAGTAATTCTTTTCCCTGCATGTTCATGTTTTCATGTTCAAGAAGGAGGAGAAATGGCAGCAATAGTTTGTCAACACCCACTTTCCCACACCACCAAGAAATCCACAACGCAACAGTACAATCATGGGCAAGTTTTTTTTTGTTTTTTTTAAAATTCGGACCCCATCCCTGATATCAAGTCTACAAAAAGGGAGCTCATAATCCTGATTCTTATAGGATGTGGTCAAGCCAAAAAAAACCCAGGACAAGTTCTTTTTAAGAACAAAAATCAGGATACCAGCCCGTAACCTACAACAGTACCTGAAGAATATTCTTATGGAGTCAATTAAAAGAAAAACCAACTCTAGTGCGGTCAAAAATGTATATCTCCTTAACTATCGAAAAAACCGGGGGGATGGGGGAGGAGAATAAAAGGGGGGAGGGGGTGGCACATTCAACCTCATACCCCTGTACTAGTAGGAACAAATATGTTTCATTTCTCTTTCAGTGAATAAAAGAACAAGAGATCATGACATATTGGTGATTTTAGTAAGTTACTGTGACAACTTTTCCCATTTAGGAACAAACCAATTTCATTAAAAAATATATATCAATGTACAAAAGTTTTTTTTAATGCACAGAAAATTGAGGTAGTCAACTCGGTACCGGTACTAATACTGAGGGTAATCTGCCATTTACAAAAAAAAAAAAGAAAAAAGAAGTTTCATTCAGATATCTAGATTCTAGATATAAAGTTTCACATGATCGTTGGTCATGGCAAGCTAGAAAAATAATAAACGGGGTGTTAACAAAACTGAAAAATAAGGGTGGGGGGGACTTTTTCGATACCTTGGAGTAAGTGTTCCAACTTTTGCACAATGACTTGTATCAATTTGTCTTAACAGAACAACATTTTTTGTAAACAACTGCTATCTGTATTCTAGAAAATTCCTTAACAAATACTAATAAAAAATTCAAGTTGGGGGTTCTACAGATTTTAAGAGGTTTACAGCTGGAGCAATAACGCTTTTAAAAGCAAGACCATTATGTTTTTCTAATCGAGACACTATGCTTATGGAACGTATGTTTTGGGAACTTTTAGTGCAAAAATGTGTTCATTATAAAATTAGTTTGTTGTAACAAGTTTTTCCACAAAAAGATGTCATTGGTGAGCTGTGTTCTTAGGCATTATGTGTATGTACAATGCGTGTGAGAAGGGGGAATGGTATGAACAATCCCATTTTACGTGTAACGGAGATTTCAGTTATTTTATATAAATTTATTAAGAAAGGTTTTAAAATCTACCCTCAATTGTTGTGGGTAAACACGATAAAATTAATACAAATTTGACATAAGCTGCTGAGCAAAGTTCGAGTGACATTGATTCACCTGTTAAGGAGATATTTGAGGATAAGTTGCGCCATGAATTTTTGACCTCATTATAAGTGATTAAAAAAGATGTATTTTTACAAAGGTCACTCAAAAGTTAAGAACAAGTCAAGTCCATCATTACAAAGTGAAAAAACAGAGTTAAATCATAGTAGGATTAACAAATTGACCTTGGAATTCATTTCCACATTTTGGTAGAATTTACTTTTTTTAACGACTTAATTTGATCAGCATGTGCTTCAACCCAAGAAAAAGAATGAACATAACACAAAGACAAAGGAGAGTAGCTTCTACTCAGTTTGTTTTCTAGACTAATAATATAAGACAGCAGAATTATACCCAGCCTATGAGGGGATAATCTGGCCTTCTTTGTTACCTAAATCAGCAGAAGACACTGCTATGCTGCTCTGTGAAACCTATGAGAGGACTCACCGATCTGTGTTTCATGTAGGACAGGAAGGAGTTCCAGATAAGAGTGGCCGAGCTCACATACAATACTCGGAACCTTCCGGGCAGGAAGCGGAAGTTGACAAACTGGGCCAGGGGCCAAAACATCCAGTCAACCTAGATTGCAGTGAGACATCAAGGAAAAATGAGCAGCAGGTTTTAACAAGTGAACAAAAGTTCTATAAAATACAGAGTTCAGCTTGTGTTTCTCAGCTGCTTGTTCTACTCTTTAAGATCATCTTACTAAGAGTACGAAATAACAAAGAAATCATTAGACGGAGCTTAGCTTTGTCTTTGATTTTAGAATATATGTACTTGCTAGCTCCATTTATAATCTTTTCTATTTCTTGAGACAGCTCATATTATCAGTATTTTATTTTACATTTTACTGCACTGATATAATTTATTTCACATTTTTGCAATTGCATCATATATATGGAAAAACTTTCATACTGTCATATTACATGAAACATGCTTTATTGTTTGATTCTGCTTTATGGTTTAAAGCAACAAAAAAATGTGTATAACTAATTGCTCATTTTTCTTAGGAAAGCAACGATAGATGATTCTTTACTTTATGTCATGGTGATTTAATTTGCGGCTTTACATTTTGCACGTTTTCTTTCATAATGAATATTCTATAAAGTTCACCCAGTCTTCATGTGATGTAAGCACAATACAATATGTTTCATAAAAACCTCGGAAAAAAATACACTAGTAGTTAGAGATGAAATGGTCTTGGTATTGCAAAATACTCTCTTTTGTAGTTTAAAAGCAGTGGAAAATCAATCTATACAAACAATTAAGGTGAGTGTGAAAATAGGCTCTCAGTCAAATCCTGGTATCTGGTCAAAGCTAGAAGTTAGCATAACAAAATTGTTATCACCCATAACAACAACAACAACAGCAAAATATAAATACTATCAACAATAGCATAACATTCTCATCACCAGCACTCCCCTCACCAGCAGCAGCAACATTTAACAACATTGGAAGTTTCAACACCACCTCTAACAAATTCCTGCAAAAATAAAGCTGTGTCCAAAGGGTATCTAAACAGCAGAGGGTTCACTGAAGCAGTCGATTATCATTCCAATATTATGAACAAAGGTCACAGAAAGTTCACTACTCACCATGTATATGTGAAGAAATTTGTTCTTCCACTCGACTATAGCAGCATCAAGACCTTTACCCTCCAATAAAGTCATGCCTGAGGATATAATAGATAATAATAAACAGCATTTGTACAGCGCATATCCCCACTCAACAGCAAGATTTATGCAATTAGCAATCCGTATAATAGAATAAAGGTTTTCATATTGAGATCTCCTTGAGTGCGAGTTTTAGTCGAGTCAAACCTATTGATATATTAATGGTGTGCAAACAAATACAAGACCAAGAGTCAGAAACAGCAGAGGGATAGGAAAGAAGTAAAGGATGTAATAGCCTTGGCTGAGCATACAAATAAGGTACTTTTTTCTTTTTAAAATATTTTACAGGGAGAATGATATACTCACAGAAGCAGAAGTGTGTGTGCATGCATGTGTGTGTTCGTGTTTGCATGGGCTTAAGTTGTGCATGTGTGTTGTGTGTGCATGTGTATGTATGTGTGTGTGTCTGTGTGTGTGTGTGTGTGTGTGTGTGTGTGTGTGTGTGTATGTGTGTGTGTGTGTGTGTGTGTGTGTGTGTGAGTGAGGGGGGGGGGGGGGGGGGTTTCAGATCATCCCTTGACAAAAAAAAGTCTATCAAAATATAAAAATTCCACCTGTCAATTTTAAATCTGTAATTAAATACCATGGGGTGAATCATGAACATAGTCCTAGAGCTTTTACCTTTTCTTCAAGTGCTAGATCTAAAACAAAAATTGGCGATCAAATGGCTGGCCACTCATTTCTCTGCTTAGATGCTCTTTATAAAACATATTAGATCTATCTGGGTCTTTTCTTGTCACCCATCTGTTCAAGTCAACTAAGAAAGTTATATTTGGTAATATGTACTGCCAAAACAAAGAAGGTGTACAAATTGAGTAACACAACAGATAGATGATAGGCAGAGACACAATGAAAAACAAGTAATATATGTTCAAAAACATGTAAAGACATACACACACTCAGATACATACCTACTATCTATCTATGGTAACATAATTATATCACATCAAAAGGTCAACTATATGGCCAATTCTTTCAACTTTCCCATCCTAAATATTTTTCATTATTTTTTCAGGAGAAAAATACTAAACAGCTACTCCAAATTTGTACATATTTCAAAAGTAAAGCCCTGAGCACAGATTTTCTTCCTTCCTCCCTTCCTTCCCTCTCTACTGCCTTTGTCATTACTTATACACTAATTCACTCGCTCAATCACTTACTTACTCATTGATCTACATATATGTACACCAATATACACACACACATACACAAAAACAAATATACAAAGACATACTGACAAGAGAAGGTATGAAGAAAAAAAAGATCCAGGTAAATCCAGCCACTGCCTGGTCACATCCTATCTTCTTCAGCAAGGTCTTCTCTCTCTCTCTCTCACACACACACACACACATACAAATACACACACACACACACACATATATATATATACACAAACACACACACACACACAGACTTACCAACAAGGAAGGATGTGCAGAAAAAAGGTCCAGCCACTGTCTGGTCACAAGCTATCTTCTTCAGCACTGTCTTCTGGCTTGTCCCTTTGAGGATTCTGTCCAGGAACGTGTACCAGTAGTGGTTGAATGGACCCAGGACAAAGCCAATTGCCACCATCCTCCCTGGACAAGTTAACAAAGGAAAACGTTTTCTTCTTCAACAAACTGATGGTATCAACGTTTTAAATGTACACACTTACCATAACCAAGTACGTTGTCGATGCATGAAGAACGGCTGAGGCAAAATAAACATTGGAAGCAGCCCAAAACACCTACATTGCAGATCCTCCAAATGTTTTCAATATTACATAATGCACTCATAAGCTTGCAAGATGTGTAAAGCCTTTTACGTCTCTAATATATGAAAATGACTACTGCATGTAATCTATGTTTACAGTTTATACGCATGTTTTCCCTCCAATTAAAAAAAAATTAAAAAATTGGAAGCCGCACAAGAAATAATCAATTCAGTTAATTAATTTTAGGACAATTGGTTTAAAAACAAAAAAATTCACAGCTCATATGTACAAGTCAAGCCCAATGAATTTAAGCAAACACTGGGACAAAGGATTTTTTTAGGGAGATCATATCTTAATTAAGTGTCTTAATTGAACAGATTAGGGGGGGGGAGGGAGGATTCGGACAAAGGTTTTAGACCACAAGATGTTTTAATTCCTTTTTTTTACCAATTTAAAAAATGAGAAGCACAGCAACTCAATAACTGTCATCCAGTTTAAGTTACTGAAAAAGCAAGACATACAGACAAAAATGACAAAAGCACAAAAAAAGAAGTGGGATACCAATGGTGCCCTCCAACCACCTATTATTTATACTGAGTTAAGTGAACAGTTGAGGCTGACTTGTCAGATATATTATTCACTAAAAACCTTTTGGGTTCAGAACTGGGTTTTCATATTATATCATGGGTAAACATTCCAATAGACATGTACAGGAAATTTTAAAGGGGTATTTAATTTAGTGGAATAAGTAAAGAAGAAATGAAAAAGAAAAAAAGAGAGAAAGCAGAGACAATGCAATAAAAACTTCAAGAACATAATAAAGGAAATGTTAAGGTACACTTGGTCTAGTGGATTACTTTTTTTAAGGGGAGATGTACACTCCCGGTAAAATTTTCTAAACGAATGACTTTTATTGACTTTCATGTAATTGGGCAAGAAGTTCATAGGTAAATAGGATTTACTAAGGGTAGATTTGTTGATTTTTTTCAGAAAAATGGGTCTCTGTGGAGGCCATCTTGGATTTTCAAACCAGTTTCTTAGTGCGGAAGAATTTCATAGAAAATAGTGAAACTTCAGCCTGAAATTTGACACAAAAGTGCAAACCTAAATGGACTGGATCTATGTGAGGATTTTGACATATCTTTAAAATAAAAAAGTGAGCCCGAAGTCAGTGGACCCCCGAGAGTCAGTTGATGAAACTTTAGCGTATATGTTACAAAAAATTTGAATATTTCCACAAGTTATCAATATTTCCCAATTTCCTCAAATAGTGCCCCATATTGGATCTTAAAGCACTTGTATGTCAAATTTGAAGCTTCTAGCTTCAGTAGTTTAAATGAAAACTCCTTCAAGGAGGTCATGCCAAAAAGTAGATTTGAGAAAAACAGAAAAAACAGGAGTTTTTTTAAATTTTAAGTTTAACATGCACTTTACAAATGCCCTTTTATGTCATTTAGGGTGTTTTTTCAACAATTTTATCATTGTGACCCGATAGAACAATTGCCTTTCCACAAAAAACAAAAAAAATCGATATTTTGAAAACATTTACTGTTATTCTCTGAGATCGCCGACCCGGGTCTTTCCTTAAGTACAGACAAAAAAAAAAAAGGAAAACAAAGCAATACAATAGATTTGATGTGGTGGAACAAGTGAAAAAGGGGGAAAAAACAGAAGAACAAAAGGACAGAAGGCTGAAACAAAAAAAAAGACTTTAAGACAAATGTAATAACATGAGGGATAAATTACCTGTTCGGGCAAAGTCGTACTTGACAGTATTGCCATTGTGTTTCTCATAAGCTATGTTCATCCGTTGTACCATGCAGTCACCTACCCCAAGTAAAGTGCCACAAGTGACAATATTTGTTGCCAAGAGATGCTTTCCATATAGTTTTTCAAAAGTGACACGTATTCGAGTAAAAGTAGTCATGCTGGAAGATTTTTACTAATTCCTGGGAGTGTGTCAAGGTCACATGTCCATCGACCAATATCATAGACAGTGACTGACTGCCATACTGGGGAAATAAAAAAAAAAAATATTAAGTAAATTCATCATCTATTTACTCACAACAATCTATTCCAAAATTATAAACATTCACCTACATACCTCTTCTCGGATCATGATTCATTGCTTTAAAATCCCTTCTTCTTTTAAACTTTTAGCTAGTTAAAACTTACGGGTCACAGGCTAAAGGACCTTCAACTGAATGCGAAATTGAAGTGACTTACTCCGAGCCATTTTCAAACTGGAAATATTTTTTAGTGTCCCTCGGTGTCGGTGTATAACATATTTATAAAGAAAAAAGCAACGGTATAAGAAGATGACTATATGGCTACATCTCAGTTGAGTCACATCCAGTTAATTCAAAATAACCAGTTTTGAAAGGCTAGTCTTGGAGAGGACATTTAAGATTGTGCTGACAAAACTTGTGACAATGATCAAAATTGTCCAATATAAATTTTCCTTTAAGCACAGAAATTTGTTCCTCCAGTTACCAGAGCAGCCTCATCAACAGTTATGCTACACCATCTAAGTTTAAGGAAGTCTTAGATAAGAAATTAAAGGAATGTAAGAAAGAGATAAAACAAAAGATAATGCAACAGCAACAGAGTATAGTTTGGTAGTTTATATTGTATTATGATTGATTATCATTTCCTTAGCACTCACAGTCATAGGCATAATCAGCCATTTATAAGTCATCATTGGTATTGGGCATACTCTTATTAGTAACACTAGTAACAGTGGAAAACATAACGAAGTGACTATTTCTCCGAACGTTCGGCCAGTCTAGCCGTACTTAGATCTAGGTTTGGCCCAATCGACTCAAGCCTGCTAAGTAGTACACAGGTCTCATTAGATCTAGATCTAGTAATTATTCAGGTTCAAATACATGCAAGTCAGTAAGGCACCTTTTGGTTTTGTCTGAAATACAAATATTTAAGGAATTGCAAACTAAAAATTTCATTTACAATTCAGCCATCAATATTAAGTACGGCTAGACAAGAAGTCTAGCCGTCCTTAAGTACGGCTAGCCTGGCTGTCTATCCGTACTTATCTTAGGCCCTATTAACATTAGAAAACAGGAGGTTTAAAATACATGCACTGTCATTAAGGCACCGTCTCAAATGGCCACCTCTATTCTCACCCGGGGTGAGAATAGTGCAGGCGAGTCTTTTGGCTATTCTCACCGGGTGCGCGTTCACCGTTATAGCCTAGATCTAGGCCAACAAATTTTGCGTTCACCCTAAACCACAGAATTCTACACTGTGATAACAGAAAAATTGAAGAATTCTGTGCTGTGAACAAACGTTCCATTACAACTGTACTTGTAGCCTACTAAAAGCGTACAATTTTGTCTGTGGGCAGTGGAGAGAGAGAGAAAGAGAGAGAACAAAACAAAATGGCGACCCACGTAGTTCGGCTCGATTCGAAAAGTTAAATAGCCGTAGCATCTTTGTAGACAACCAAATTAATTTACTTTTGTGTTTTAACATCATTTTTTAACTTTGTTTTGGTCAATTTGATCGTCCACACCGATAGACAGTATTCAGAAAGAGACAGAGAGAGAGAAAAGAGGGGAGGAGTAGATCTTGCGAGAACTTCCGGGCGGGTGAGAATAGCCACAAATTTCGTCTCAAATACAAATACTTTAGGTACTGCACACTAAAAATGTATATTTACAATTCAGTAGGCCTATATTTTGTAAATGGTCAGTCTAGCCATCATATTAAGAATAAAAGTACGGCTAGACTGCGAGTCTAGCCGTATTTAAGTACGGCTAGACTGCCAGTCTAGCTGTCATTAAGTACGGCTAGATCTAGCCTCTCCCTAAAAATAATAGATCTAATGATAATAACAATGATAACAAGAGAATAAGTAAACAAGTTGAAGGTTAATTATTGCATCAGACTCAGAGAAGCCTGTGGTCACTCTTCTTATGAATGTGGGCAGTGTTAGTAGTGTCAGCAGTATGGGTAACAGTATTCCTGCTGTCAGTTGTCAAAAGTCTGCTATAAAATGAATAATGTATTCTAGATTCTAGATCTAGACTCTAGATCTCTCTATTAACATTAAAAGGTAGGACCTAGGCCAAGCAACAAACACTGTACAGCCTATAAACACTCAAACAACAAACACATTGCTAAACAGTAGCCTCCTAAACAGACATACAGGAGGCCTAGCGGCCTAGCCCTAACAACGACGACATTAACTCGACTCAAACTCACGAAATTTGAATTTTGTCAATTTTGCATGAATATCCAATACACACAAAAACAAGAAACGTTGCAGATTGTTCCTTCATGATACTTACAAGTCACAACGTCAAAGAAGTGGGGAAAAATCCCCGCTCAGTCTCAGTGCCCTCTATTGTCCCAAGCAAGTTCTCCTTGGTCCTTGCAATGTAACTAATGTTTTGCTTTAGGCCTAGGCCCTACAAGGGCGCAGACATATTGTACCTTAAAAACATGAAACTTTGCATCCACTTTTTGTATTTAGAGTACAATTATATTTTAGTGTCTCTGGTACAATTAATGTATGACAACGAGTCTCTAGTGTTTTGGTTTAAGTTTGCAATACATCCCCGAAAAACACAAATTTGGAACAATTTAAGCTTATTTTACTCCTTGCGCTACATGCAGTAGGGCAATAATGGGAAGCGATCAAGACTATTAGGCTATCATAGGATAAAATATAAGTAACCAATTTGTCCAATATCAAATTCATTTATTTCGTTTCGGTTTCTCTGACTTAGAAAGTGTTAGAAAAATTAATACTGTCCATTGATTCTAGCTTTGTTTACAGTTTCCACTGTCCACATTGTGCCTGTGTGCTGGTTGAGTTGATTCCACCGGGTGTAATGTGTAATTCAATGAGAATGGATGTGTGACGGTGGTGAACGTAAGTCGTTATAAATCTCACTCACGTTTCGCCTTGGGGGTCAAGATAGTTTCAGATCTCTCCCAAATTGCGGCTTTCTAGATCCAGTTGGAGTATTCTAATTTCTATTTCTATTTTAAAAACCCAACAAAATGAATTCGTATGATCAGCAGATGATACTCGAGTCCTGGAGTTTGTTTCCTGTTGGAAGTTGAGAAGTTGATAGATCTAGATTCTAGATCTAAATCTAGATCTAGATCTAGATTCTATAGATCTAGAATCTACATCTACATCTAGATTCTAGATCTAGATCTAGATTCTAGATCTAGATCTAGATCTTGTTCTAGATATCTAGATCTAGATCTAGTCTAGATTTCTTCTAAAGACGTGTTGCCTAAATTAACTGTACAGAACTGTGCAGTAAGCTGACGAGTGTAGGTAACTGCAAAATAAGTAAAGGTAGGTTCTAGAGTAGAGATCTAGAATCTAGATCTATGCAGACTGCAGGTAAATCGCACAGGATAGAATCTAGATCTAGATCTAGATCTAGATCTAGATATCTAGAGGCGAGATAAGGTCTTGGCTTGTTACCTGTGTCTATTTTCACAGAATAATAAAACTAGATCTAGATTCTAGATCGCAGTGGCTATGTTCACGGCGCCCTATGCAGTTTGCTGGTCTTGCTGAGGCTACGTTCACGGCACTAAAGCTTCGTTTAGGGAATTCGGAGGAGCGTCCGCTGCCGGTTTAAGTCAGCTGGTTTTAGATCTAGTCAGTGACAACAGTGACGTATATTTAATAGTAAATTTTTGCCAGCTGCATGTGTTCCATCCCATGGGATGAAGGAAGACGAAGCGCCCTAGCAGAATTAAAGTCGTATGGAAAATTGGATACACGGTAGGCCTAGGGAAACAAGAGGTGAGAGATGGGAAACAGAAGATGGGATTCAGAAAATGGAACTGGTCATAAAATGTGTACAATAATGACTGTATTGCACCGGGTCAGCCTGGGAACCAACGCAGAGAGAAAATGACGGGAATCAGTTATATTCTTAAAAACGCCGTCTCTCTCTTTCTATTTCTGTCTGTCTTTCTCCCTTTCTCTTTCCTTTTCTCTCTTTCTCTTCCCCCCCCCCCCCCTCTCGCTCTCTTTTCTCTTTCTCTGTCTGTCTGTCTCTCCCTCCCTCTTTCTCCCCTCCCCCTTCTCTCTCTTTCTCTCCTCCTCCTCCCCCCCCCCCCCTCACCTTCTCTCTCTCTCACTCTTTCACTCTTACCCACACACGCACACACACTGCCCGCAAACAAAATTGCATGCTTTCAACTCGAGAGCGCTGGAACTTTTGTTTACACTCGAAATATTATTATCAAAGTCCGTCACGCGCTGACGCAAGGTCGCTCCCAAGTCTCTCCCAGACATGAGATAGGGGAATTGAAACATCTTGTAGGCGTATTTTTGTTATAATGCGTTGTTGCATAATTGAGAGTTTGTCGTTTTTCCTTACACTGGCGAACTCTGAGCCAGAGCTCAGTGTAAGGGAAAACGAGGAATGGTTGATATCGGTCAAGGATCACTGCTTCATTTTCCTTCATCTCAAGGGATGGAACGCTTGAAGCAGGCCTAAATATTAAATGATGTCACTGTCGTCACTAACTAAAACCGGCTTACTTCCTTAAGCCGACAGTGGATTCTCCGTCTAAGCGAAGTTTGAGTGCCTTGAACGTAGCCTTAACAGCACCTCTGCAAACTGCCTTCAGGGCGTCGTGAATGTAGCCTACCAACTACGTTTAAAGCGCCGTGCCACTGCGGCTGCGAAACTAGATTAGACTAGAATCTATGACTAGAGATCTATCTTGTAGACCTCTAGCAGCTGTATTCTTGTCCAATAAATGTGTTAATAAAAGATTATAGTATTGAAACTGTGCGGAAAATGTGTCAAGATAGATTATTTTTTCAGGTTGCGAAACTGATCCTTAATCACTTTGAAGTGTTTTTATATTGGAGAAATTTTAACTTTACTCTGTAGTAAGACACAGGTTGGTGTACTTAATCATTGGAACTTTTGTTTGTTATTTTAGATACTCTGATTGTTCAGAAAGGAAACTGATGCTACAGCATTCCCCAAGACAATACAATTTGGGACAGGGAATGCCTTTCCTTGTGCACTCATTTTGATACTATATACCTCTCAAGCTTCATGAAGTGAAACTTCCTGAAACAGAATTTAACTTGGCTAACATTCTGTGGTATTTTTTATTCTGTGCCTTGGCCACTGGCACTTCAGGATATTGTGACAGCAAGCCTGAGAGCAAACTTGAAGCTAACTGTCTTAACACAAGACTCATCTATGTGCCATGACCATTTGTGGTAAGTAGGCTACAATAAAAACTTATAAAATAGTGCCAAAAATAAAGTACTTCTTTATTATTATCTTGAATATAATAATCTGTACTTTTTCATATATATATATGCTAAAATGCCTCAAAGATTTTAAACCCTAATATGATTTGACTCATCATCATTCTACTACTGTAAGTATTTTAACATGTTTGCCGGGGGGGGGGGGGGGGTTCTCTGGTGATAGCAGATTGCCAAATGCCCTGTTTTGTAGCATTCAATTCACTCTACAGTTACTGGGACTATTGGTAAACTGCAAGGACTGTAATCACTGCTGGTTCACCTATATGACCTGTGCATGATAACAAAAATGGCATAATCTTGTCCAGGTTATGAGGTCAGTAAGCATGTTTGTGTGACCCTGAAGAAGAGAAAGCCCCACCCCCGGGCAGTGCTACTGACTGAAGAAATTGTCTTTAAGGCCATTCCCAAGTGGGGGGGGGGGGAGGTATTAACAGCTGATTCATCAATGTCATGCTCATACTTTGTCGGAACAACATAGTGGGGAACTGCTGCTTCTCCTGTCCTGATCCTTACTATTGGCATTTTCCTCTACTTCTTTTGTATGATCTTTGTCACTCTCTTGTGAACTGCTTTAAACCGGGGTGCCTTGATAGTTGAAGCCGACTTTGTGCTTTTGAGGCTAGAGAAGTGAGCAGAATGCCTGATTCCCTGTTTGGACTTTTTTGTTGACATCCTCCCCTTGGCGCTCATATATGACCTTTTATGCAGTTGCGAACGCTGTACAGTAAAACTCGGATTCAACGAGGTCGCCGGGCCTGACCTAAAAGCTCGTTGAATCCGAGTGTTCGTTATAGCAAACACGATGTTTTGTGTAGATAATTATAGGCACTGAGCTAGTAGGCCCTTATGTCTAAAGAGAAGTCACAAGTAGTGCCTGAAATGCCTGCATATTATGAGCTGTGTAAAAAAAAAGGAAAGACCGATTCGATCAAACGCACACGCCTTTTCATTTCGATTGTTTACCCAAAAGTTGTGTTGCTGTGTAGAGCCTAGCATACGGCAACTTTTGATTCCATTGACCAGCGCACAATTCACTACGTAGATCTACGTCAAGACTAGCTTTTATATCATTATAATAATGATCAGTTGCCCAGGGGGGGAAAAGACTGTGACACGTTTGTATCTGCGACGTTCAACGCCCGGACCGCTAGTGCCCCCCCCCCCCCCCCCCCTCCCCGACACGCACACACAGCCGCTCATCCGACCCCGACACACGCCAGAGTAGACACGTGCGCGTGCCAACAACACCTGTGTTGGTATACATTGGTATGAAAAAAGGCCGCTGATTGGTCGCCTGCTATGCGTTCTCATACTGACCGTCTAGGTCGCATGCAATTGGCTAGGTGAATAATGGCTCACAATGCAGGTGCAATGGATGGTTTCGGGGAATAGATAAAGTTCGTTCTGGGAGAAAAGTGGGCAAAACCACGTCTGCGGGGGCTGTTTACCCTGGAAACGAACTCGTTGAATCCGAGATCGCTGATTTAAGTGCTCGTTGAATCCTGGTTATTTTTTATTGATTTTAAAGAAGAAAAAAAAAAAACGGGGAATCTGTCTCTTCTCGTTGAATCCGACGAGTCCCACTGTAAAACCTTACTAAACTAAACGAAGAACATAAAAAGGTGGAAAGGGGTGTGTGTGTGTGTGTGTGTGTGTGTGGAGGGGGGGGGGGTTATTCTGTACATCTATTTTTATAGTTTTTAGCGGTGGCATCAAATCCCCTGGACCCAGGGTTCTGATCTGATGTACTGTGATCTTGAGTTACAAGGTGTGAATGTTGTTTGTTGTTTTTGTTGCTGGTCTTTGAGTCTTCTCTGGAGACAAAAAATGAAGAATGGTAGGTTTGAGACCCCTTTTGTGTTCATCTGCTGAAAATGAAGTGTGGTTGTAGTCAACCTTGATTTCCATGAATGGAATGTTTGTTTAAGTGTAAGTTCTTCTTCTCCAGTTGAAGTAGGCCCGATACTTTTGCAAGCGAGTGTACCAAAATGTGTGTTCCCTAATGTCATTATAATGTCTTTTCAAATATAAAAGTTACGTTTTTAAATCTCTTTTTTCATTCTGATATCAAATAGATTTTATAGAATCCTGACAGGCTCTAAAAAATTTAAAGCAAAAGAAATCCTTGATTATGTCTGATCTTCCCTGGAATATATCATACAGCAATAGCCTACTCTCTATCTGCTGTACAACTACTTGCAACAGTCTTGACAAGATCCAAAATAATGCCCTTCGTTTTGTAAACCTTGAGCAGTACCACACCAAGGGACAACTGCTAGACAACATCAGGGCTGTCTATGCCAACAGCAGAAGGGCAGTCCACACTACCAGTGGAACATCCGACTGGTTTCCAGTAACATTCAGAGTCAGGCAGGGCTGCAATCTCTCCCCTGTGCTTTTCGTGATCTACATGGACCAGATTACAAAGGAGGCCAATCCAGATCCAGAGAAACTCAATGAACTCATGTTTGCAGACAACTTGGCAATGATGAACAGCAAAACACAACTGCAGAAGCATACGAAGCAACTAAACGTGAGGTTCGAGAAATATGACATGAAGATAGGTGTTAGCACGACCGAGATCATGACAGCAGGACACCAGACGAACTGGATATCCGCATCAGTGAATCCCAACTAAAACAAAACAGTGAATTCAAATACTGGGGCAGCATTTTCACAGAAAACGGCAAACTAGATTAAGAAATAGAGACCAGATGCCAGAAAGCCGATGCTGTCAGCTATCAACTCGCCCCTCTCCTGAACCACCCAGCATCCCCTTGAGCACCAAGGTGAAGCTCATCAATGCCATTTTTTTTTCAACGCTCACGTATCAGTGCCAGACACGGTCCCCAACAAAAGCATTTGAGAGGAAGCTGGTCACATGTGATATGAAATTGAAATGTCTAAGAAGAGCGGTAAACAAGACAAGACAAGATAAAAAATGAAGTCATAAGAGACATGGTAAGAGCAACACCAGTTCTACCTTACATTGAGAAAAAGAGGATCAAGTGGTTCGGACACCTCACTCGCATGCTTTTAAGCCAACAAGCTCTGAGCGCATACAACACCCGCTATTCTGGTTAGAAAGCCTGAGGAAGACCAAGACGACGTGGAAGCGAATCTGTGGCAGACACCCTCAGAGCTCACGGGATGTCCCTCCTACAGGCCACTTGCCATGCTACAGACAGACGCCTGTGCCTCCCCGCGAAACCCACTGGTACAAGCAGAAGAAAAAAGTTTAAAAAGTAAAAGTTTTATAAAAAATGGTGGCATTAGATCCACACATACTACTGTATGGAAAATTGTTTCAAATTTTGAACCCCTGGGAATTCGCAGAGATTTTGAAACAGTTTTGAAGCTCCTCGAAAGAACCAAAAGAATGTGCCCCAATCAGCCTAACAGGAAATTAGTTGGAAACCAAAGAAAAGACTTCAACAAAAATCAATCATGCATCATATCACAGAAATAATGGAGAGTCACCGTCTACCACAAATCAGAAAAGAAACCAGAAGAGTCAACAGAAACATCCCTTCCCACATTTCTTTGGGAAAAACAATCGTTGTGCTATATCTCTCGGAGACAATAGCACTTAATTTTCAGACCTTGTGACGCTGGCGCTTGCATCACATCGAACAATCACCAGATATTCAGATGACTGGGTACACGTCTATACAAAATACGGCTCAGCATTCAAAGGCACATCCAAAGCTGGATATGGAATACTAATTCAGTACCCAGATGGAAGTTCCAGTGAGATCTCTGCAGCTTGGGGGGGGGGGGGGATGCAACAACTACGATGCAGAAATGATGGCAATTGAAACAGTACTGTACATCTCCGCACAGTTTTTGACACTTATCCAAACAAAATACAGTGTACCGGTATTGTGATTTTCACTGACTCACTATCAATCTTGCAAGCGATAAAAATGACCATCATCTAAATCAAGACTTGACACACACACACACACACACACACACACACACACACACACACACACACACACACACACACACACACATATATATATACACACACATATATATATACACACATATATATATGTATATATACTGTAATGGCTCCCATCACCTGATAGCATCCTGTGGCGTCAACCTGGTGATGCGGTGGATTCCCAGACCCTCAAGCTAACTGGAAATGGCAGAGCAGACACAGTCGCCTTAAGGGGATCTAGACAGGAACAGCCCAACACCCAACCTCATACAACACTTAAAGACAAATGTTTAAAAGCAAAAGCTAACAAGATTGAATGAACAAATGGGCCTTGGGAAAGACAGGCAGAACAAGTTTTGAAACATATGACAACAACAAAACCAAATGACTATATCAACCACCTATAGAGAAAGAAACAGACCACGATCTTCCGCTTACGAACAGAACATATACAGCTCAACGTCCACTTGAACAGAATAAAACCAGAACTTCCGCCAATGTGTCCTTTGTGTGACTATGCATAATATGAGACTGGATCATCACCTTTTCCACTGCACAGCCGTAACTGACATCAGAGCTACACTTCTCCGTCCGAGACCTAACATTGACAACACACTCAATGGAACATTTTTACGGCAACTGCAGTAATCGCTACATGCATCACATCTATCATCATCACCACATGGTACTGAACAGAAGGGCGAGAGCCCAACTGTTGTTGGGTCGATAACAGCAACATGGAATCCTGAATAACTAAAACAAAAATGGTTTGGGTTTTTTTTTTAAGCTTCAAATTTGATGATGTGCTGCTTACTAAATATGTTAAAATGTTAATTATGTGGCCTGTCTGTCTGTCTGTCTGTCTGTCTGTCTGTCTGTCTGTCTGTCTGTCTGTCTGTCTGTCTGTCTGTCTGTCTGTCTCTCTCTCTCTCTCTCTCTCTCTCTCTCTCTCTCTCTGCACTGGGGGAAATAAGCCAACGTCCGTTGATCCGTTTCGTAATGAAATCTAATCTATTGATTGCTCTCTCTCTCTCTCTCTCTCTCTCTCTCTCTCTCTCTCTCTCTCTCTCTCTCTCTCTCTCTCTCTCTCTCTCTCTCTCTCTGTGTGTGTGTGTGTGTGTGTGTGTGTGTCTCTGTCTCTCTCTCTCTCTGTGTCTCTCTCTCTCTCTAACTCTCTCTCAACTCTCTCTCTCTCTCTCACACACACCCACACACACACGCACTGGCACACACACCCACACACACGCGCACACACACACACACGCACACACACATACTTGACATACCCACCGTTGCCTCAGTCAAAAACTCCTGTAAAAGCGACATTTTCCAAATGATACAGGAGCAAAAACTTCACAATTGTTGCAGTTTTAGGTCTATTGAATTGAAACGTTCACATTATAATACTCATGGCAACAACACAAACACGTTTCAGTCACACATCAGCATAAAAACAACAATTTTCAACGAAACGTGAGGATGCAAAAAGTCATTACTGGATATTTATTAAAAACGTGAACATAAACTCCTTTATGGGACTCGTACAGGATTTCTTTACTGATATGGGGGGTGGGGGTGGAAAATAGATAGTGCTTACAGGATTTTAGTAGACTGAAAGTGGGATCATACTAATTAAATTACAAATTCAAAGTGTTCAGATACTATTTAGTTGCTGTTTTGTTGAACTGCGCGATATGCTTTTCAAGATCATGGTCAATCTGATTGTCATACAATCTAAGGGGCTCTTGTGGCCTAGAGGTTAAGGTGTTGGCCTCTCATTCAAAGGTCCCGGGTTCGAATCCGGGTAGCGACCGAAAAATTTTCTTCTCTAAAATTGTCTCCTTTCACCTCCTTTCCTGCTCTCTAGCAATGTTCTGTTGTCTGCTTTCAATTCCACTTTCTGCCCCCACCCCCTCACCTCCTTTGCCCCCTCCTCTGGGCTCCTGACTCTTTCTGCAGCCTTTCTACTGCTACTCCTTGCCTCCTCCTTACTGCTGTCTTTCTGCCACACCCCTGATCTTCTGGTAGGAAAGATCTACACCTAGCCTTCTCGGACAAGGGCGAAAAATCTCGGAGGGCCCGTGTGCAAGTTGCGCACGTTAAAGATCCCTTGGTGGTCTAAAATCGATAACAGTAGGCTTCGGCCGCCACCCGGGCAAAATTCAAAATTTCCTACCAACTGAAAAATATTAGGTGTGTCCCGCGCGCTCATATGACCTATGCAGTTGCGAGCGCCGTAAAACACTTTACAAAAACAAAATACAATCTATATGAAACGACCAAAGTCATTTTAAAAGGTAAAAAAAAGGATCTCCAAAATGCGTGAAAAATGATTATGTCTAAAAACATGAAACATTTTGACTGCTACAAAAAAAAAATAAAAAATATCAAACTCCAGAGGGGAAGTCTGGTTGTCGTACAACTTTTTTGTAACCCTTTAAGACATTCTTTATAGAAAAAAACACCAGAAATGCGTCGGAAAAAGACGATAGGGTTTAGTTAGAACATTACCAATTTGACGAGTAAAAAGTCATTAAGCTCCTTGGGAAAAGACATGCATAGATAGTATGAGTCAAATAAGCGTATACATTAGCAGTTGGACGTTCTCATTCACACCCTAACGAGTGAAAAACATGACATAATCGATGAGAACCAAGCGCATTTAACTATATATCTACCGTATTTCCTGAAACTTTTATTAGGCGTACCTAGATCTAGTTAAATCATAAGCACAACGAAAACGGAGATTCTGGTACATAGAGGGTGGTGCAGTGGTGAGCAGGTGGGATCAGGTTAGATGAAAAAAATGGAATGAGGCCATTTGAATAGCTTCTTATGAAAAGTCAAATTGGAAGCAAATTTATTGTTTGTTGTCTCAGAAAAACAAGGAAACTGGCCGTGGCATAAAGAATGGGCCAATGCAAAGATCAAGAATTTCTCTAGCTAAAATTAGTAGCAACACGTTGTAGCACTTAGCATATATATCATTATGACAATAAACTCCTGCGTTAAAAAAAATTGGAGGGAGGGGGTGGGGGATGTTGAGGTGACAATAACTAATGTTCCTATTACAGAACAGTGAGATTCTGGTACAGAGGGCAATGAGCAGGTGGGATCAGGTTTGATGAACACAATGAAATGAGGAACACAATGAAATGAGGAACACAATTCAATGAAATAAGGTCCCTCTTTTTGTCCTCTGACACAACAGCTGGTTCATTGAGCACTGATGCGTTCAATAGCTGTTCGTCTGGTTCTTCTGGTTTCCGTCTGCGTCGCATTATGTCAACTCAGCTCTCTTTCCCGTAGCGGATGATCATAGTGTCGTTCTTATTTCAAACGAATATTGTTGCCCTAATCTTTGTCCTTTTGATCTTCTCGCGGTCTTCGTCATAATCCAGGTTTTGAGTCTTCTTGAAACTGCAAGTCAAAGAAATCTTGTGCAGACATAATTTCCTTGACATTGTAGGGATTCTTACTCCTTTGTGTTCCGCGGACGACGGTCGCCCACTGTTCTGGTGTGAATAATGGAATTCGTTTGGCAGCATCAGCGGTCACAGAGTGCACGGGGTCATACTCATTCTGAGTGTGGTGTCCGAACTCTAAGAAGCTGTGCTCAATTTTCTGTACAGAGGGCAGTGTTTTCAGACAGCCAAAACCTCGTGGTGATGTACCTGTTCCGGTTTTGGCCCTTGCAGTTGTCAGAAACAAAAATGAAACACTGTTTTGCCTTAAGCTGCATGCATCTGATTCATCATCATCATCCAGTGCCAGATCTGCGACAGACATCGGCGATCATGGTTTTCCATTCATTCCTTTGCTCGCATGCTCTCAAAAAAGCTACGTTTCCCTGATCTTTCCCTGTTACCCATTTGTGTAGGTTCCCGAGTATGTTGTTCTCGGCCTACCCCTGCCTCGCTTGCCCTCAATTTTGCCAGTGAGAGCTAGATGTTCAAGACCCTTATGTCTATTCAGGTGTCCCAAAAACTGCATTTGTCGTTTCCTGATTGTTTTTAACATTGAGCGTCCCACGTGGGCTTCATCAAGCACTACCTCATTTGATTTCTTTTCCTTCCACGATGCTCTTAGCAGTCTCCTAAGAAACCACTTTTCTGTTGCTTCTATTTTATTTTCACTGTCTTTAGTGATCGTCCAGCATTCACAGCCATATAGAAGGGTTGACCAAACATAGCATTTCAGGACTTTCATTTGGATGTTCATTGAGATGTTTCTATTTTTCAGGATTGGGCTCTTTAAAAAAAAATTGAAACTAGCTTTAGCCATTTTAGTTCTCCTTTTTATATGCATCTGATTATAGTGCCATAATTCAGGGGCAATCTGATTTGAGCCGCACGAAGACACATTATGTTCTGGCCACATATAGCACAGAAAGCTTTCACTTGTAGTAATAACTTAGCTTCACCGTGTGGGCAAAACGGCACTTTTTATAAATCGAAGCAGGAAGCCAATAATATTGTTGGGTCGTCCGTTGCTAGTTGCTTTGTCAACGCTTTGTATTAGCTGCTCTTTTGATGGGTTTTGAGTAGCTTCGAATGCCAGGCATTGGTTGCATTGGTCTTTCTTGCGAGTGAAAAAGCCAATGTTGAATTCTTTCACAAGAATCTCTTGATACTTTGAGAGTGAGGCACACGTATTTCCTTTGCTTCTTTGCCAATCTTGATACAACATGTACATCGTGCTTAGGCTCAATCCAGCTTCCCGAGGTACATCCTACCACTGAACTCACGACAGTAATGGGATGAAACTGTCGGGAAACTGTTGGTGTGGGCCTTTATGATCTGAACTGTTTCCTCGTCTACTGATCAGCAGAAACGGCGCCAACATCTGTCATTTTCTCAAAAGCACTGTAGACAACATCCTGTTTAATACGTTTTGTGTCCAGGAAAATTTTTCGAACCCAGCTTGTCGTTCACCATCAGATCTGATACGCGTGTAGTAAAGAGAAGCTCTCCGTCTTGATTGTCATTCTATGTGCGAACACGAGTAGGAATGACTTTTTTGACGCATGAGACAATGACTTGTCTCTGAAGATCTCCACACTTCCAATAATCGGAGAACATACTTTGTCTGTCTTGTGCATCCAATTTCTGAAGGCATTTTGTGGGACAAATTTCGCTACAACCTTGGCCCATGACTTTTGAAGCCACTTTCTTTCCTTTGAAACCAATGTATGTCTGTCCACTATTGCGGGGTGTTTTTCTCTGATTTTGTTTCCAGTGGTTCGCCTTGCGTGATTGTTTTCTTGACGACATTGTCCGTAACCTCTGGGGATGCTTTTTTGGAGGACGGGTGATGGTCGTGCGGTCACTGGAGTGGTTGAGTTGGGTGGGAAAGAGTCATCCTGGAAACTCCCGCAAGTTAGTGTGACATCATCAATTTGAGAAAGGGTTGATTCAACTGCTCGGTCTGTGCTATGTTGAGTTACAAACTGGATCGATGATGTAGCTGTCGCGAAAGACGAAGACGAGGGAATACGCTGATCTGGGGCTTTGAATCATGGTGTACTTGTTGCCTTTTCTTGTGCGGAAAGGAGAAGATAGTCGTCCACATCACTGTCAGAATCGCTGGCAGGGAGCAATGCTGTGCGGTTAACTGACTTTTTACCTATGATTTAAGTCCAAGTGCGACATGTGTTATATCAGCGTCAGACCATTCGGTGTCCGTGTCACACACATCGCCATTCCCTATCATTCGTGTCAACTCCAGTCACCCCTGTATATATATGATATTTTACTTACTTGGTTGGAGATTAGGCATCATTGCAGGCGGCACATTGCCATAGCTGCTCCTCCCTCCTCTCCAGGGTCCATGAAAGGGTCCGCTTGCTAATGGTGCCAGTTATCAGCTGGTTGGATATTCTTCCGGCTTTTTCCACGCAGGTTGCTGTCTGTCCCCGACCCTCCAGAGACACCAGCTTCCCTCAGTCTTTCCATTGTGTGTAATGTGGTGCATTCATCTTCTCTGTTGTCGTTGAACCCCCATTTTGTCAGTGCTGCCATGACTGTTGGTGGATTTAATTGCATGGTGCCGCCAAACTCAGCCTGGCCGGCCAGCTTATCAGAACTCAGCACAGAGAGACGCAAAGAAGGGCAGCGTTGTTATAGAATACTCCTGTGTGTGGTGCATACAGGACAGGACTCTTGGAACACGAAAACAGTGTAGCAAATTCCTGTATGATACCTTACTGGAATTTAGCCGAACAATATATGTAGCAAAAATGCGAGCAGGAATTTTCTAACTTTGTTTCTGTTTAACGCACAGGTTGCATCTTTTGACACAAGGGGCGCCGTGTTCCCTGCTTTCGATTTTTTTTTTTAACTTGGGGGGGGGGGAATTTTGGTCTATACGGAAGTTTTTGACTGAGGCAACGACACACACACACACACACACACACACACACACACACACACACACACACACACACACACACACACACACACAATCACACACACAATCACACACACACACAATCACACACACACACGCACTCAATAACACACACACACACACACACACACACACACACACACACACACTCACTCACTCAAACACACACTCGCATACACACCTTATGGCCGCGTCTTTAATGGTATTTAACCCCATCAGAATCAGAATGAACTACAGTATGGATGACGTTCATTCGGATCCCCAATGTGGCATTTTTCAGCTCGTTGTTTCGGGGAGTGGTGGATTGGTGTAAGTAAGCAAGCAAGCAAAAAATAAGTAAGTAAGTAAGTGTAGCTATGTGGGTTTAACACCCCCATCAACACTGTTCGGTTATTTAGGAGATAGCACTTCCGAATTTAATGTACATCTCCGATAGGACCGAGCCAAATGGGTTGAGAGCCTAGAAGATTCCACAAAATAACTCTAGTTCAATAACGCTCAGTCTGGGATTCGATCCAGGGCCTTCAGTTCCGTAGCCCAGCATGATACCAATTGAGCTAATGGAGTGCCTTGGGTGGTTGTCTGGAGCTCTGGGGTGGTTTTCTCCTTCTTTCCTATCAAAAGTCTATCGTCCTTTAAATCTCTCCGTCGCCTCCTCTTCTTTGTATGTTAGTCTCTAGTAACGCCTCTAATCTTCGGCACATGGCCTATTTGTGTTGTTGGGGAGGGTGGGGTGGGGGGGGGGGTTGTGAAAGCCCTCCACTAGATTTGCTCGATCCTCAAGGGGATGTATAATATTAGACTTGGAGGTCCTTTTTACTTCCTGTCATGAATGTTTTACGTGCACATCGACATGATAGTGGGTGGGTGGTGGGTGCTCTGGTGTGGTTTGCCTCTTCTTTCCTATCACACATCTGTCGTCCTTATCGCCCCTTCTTCTTTTTTATGTTTGTTACTCTCTTGTAACACCTCTAATCTTCTGGCGCTCATATGACCTTTTGCAGTTGCGAGCACCGTAAAACCTCTACATAAAAAATCGACATGATTTAGATATATAGAGGCGGGCTGCTTCGACCTCGTCTGTTCCCACCTCGTGAATAATGGATCATCGTTGAGAGGGGTGTGAAGAGCGCACTATGCCATGAGTTAATGCAAATAAACCACCAGGGAAATAACACACTATGGAGCTGGCAAACAAACCACTGGAAGAACAACAAAATAATGATGGTGTCGGGGTCAACAAGTTGTTTACGCCAGTAGCCCTGATAACGGCTCAATAGAGAGAGGACATGATGTGGTTTTGATGGACGGAAAAGGGTGTGTGTGTGTGGACAGACTGGGGGGGGGGGGGAAGAGAGAGAGACAGAGAGAGAGAGGGGGGGAGAAGGTGCGAGAGGGAGAGAGAGAGAGAGAGAGAGAGAGAGAGAGAGAGAGAAGGGGCGGGAGGGAGAGAAATAGAGAGAGGGCGGGAGGGAGAGAAATAGAGAGAGGGCGGGAGGGAGGGAGAGAGAGAGAGAGAGAGAGAGAGAGAGAGAGAGAGAGAGAGAGAGAGAGAGAGAGAGAGAGAGAGAGCGGAAGTTTAGCATTTGATGGGACCTGAATTGTCCATGTCGTTGCTGCTGCCACTGTATCTACGTGACCCATGGGAACGCCGTCTGTCGGTTTGTTTGTAGTTAGGGAGGAAATAACAGTTTATTTGTTCGTTTGATCCCCGTCGGTTTTTTTTCTCCTTCTGATGTATACCTTTTATAGCTGTTTTGTGCCCCTGCCTCTGACGTTCTCTCTGTTCAGGGCCGGGGTTTTTTTCATCATCTGTTCGTGTTGTTTGTGCTATACATGTAGTATAATGTAGCGTTTGGTGTTTTTCTACGCGGTAGGTCGTGGCTAGCGCCAAAATTTCCTGACTAGCTTGTTCTTTCATCCAGGTGCTATAATTAGTTAACGACCTCATGCCCAAGAATATCACCAGTTTATAAACGAACGGCAATTTGACATTTCTACATTCCGGTCGGACAATTTTAATCACAATGTTCACGCTATCGACCTGTCTAAGACAACCACCTTTCTCCTGGACAGTGGCGGCTGACCGTCTAGGACAGTTTTGGCTGTACTTCGTGGGTGATTGGCGGGCGTTCTGTTGTGCGCTCTGGTACGGTTTGCTCCTTGTTTCTTACTTCAACGCAATAATGTGTTGTCCTTGTCTCTCCGCGTTTTTCTTTGTATGCTACTCTCCAGTAACACACCATGGGTGGTTGGCGGGTGTTCTGGTGTGGTTTGCTTCTTCTTTCCTATCAAACGTATATCGTCCCTATCTCCCCTCCTTCTTTTTATGTTTGTTAAATGTTACTCTCTTGTAACGCGTGTAATGTTCTGGCGCTCATTTGACCTTATGTAGTTACGAGCGCTGTAAAACCTCTACTAAAACAAACAAGTAGCACACCTCTAATTTCCGTCATGACTTAAATCGTGGTGCAAGTGCTGCAAAACTCTTACGACGTCAAAATGTGGGTGGTTGGATGGTGCTCCTGTATGTTATGCTCCTTCTTTCCTATCAAACATAATATATCGTTCAAATGCCCCC